GCCTTCTTGAGCGTCATTCTAGAAGTAGATCTTTACAGATCCGTAACAGATCTATACTAGAATGCCTGGGCTGCTGTCGTATTGAAATTTGCTTGGTTATTCAAAATTTGTTCGAATGGCTATTCGCCACAAAAAATCCTAATATAAGGGATATTTTTCCAACGAATGCAATATTAAAAGCACTCGTTGAACACTTTTGAAGATCACTTTGAAATTTCTTAGGATTCGAGTGTGGTTTTAGTTTTTTTTAGTTTAGTTTAAGTGGTTTCCCGAGTATGTTAGCGAACGACTGTCGCTGTTAGATACTGTGAGCTAATGCTAACATTTGCTTCAGGAAGTGACTGTGTCTCTCATGACGGTGTAATCCTCATGAGGAGGCAATTTGATCTCGGAGTGGATGGCAGATTTTCTCATCTGGACAGAACAATGTTGATGCGTTATCGGAAAGAACGGTTTATAGCCGTTCTAAGATCCACCACTACCGATGATGGATATACAGTTGTGCCATGAGCTCCAACAAAATATGGAAATTTCAAGGCGACGGTGAGAATCCTTCCCAATACTTGAAATGTATGAAATCAAGACATCACCATTCGTATTTCGATAAAGCATGTCGAACGCGGTTTTGGAGGTCAACCTCTAGTGACAATTTCAAAAAAGTCCTTCACAGCCGCTCGTGGTCCGTGTTTGCTTGCTCGCTCGTACTTGCTGAGTTTCCAGTAGTGGTGTACTTGTCAGCCTGCCTCACATGCACATCGTCTCTCGAACTTATTGTTGATTATGGGCGACAGTAAGCTGTTAGTCCACGAGAGAATGGGCAACGACGCTTCCCAACGTTAGACCTCATTTTCATCATTTTTGCCTGTTCCATAGTACGGCAACTTGCAGCAATGGAAGATCTGCGAATCAGTGATGTCACATATGCCCATGTGAATAATGTCCAACTGTACTTTGTATCCTTCAATGACTACTCATAAACATGTCCTGTATTGGCAGTACACAAGACCTTGCATTGGCAGTAAAAAATTGTATGAAAAATGTATAGCAGTTATTCACCATAATTGATTCTACAGATGGAAGTTTAGTCGACTAGTAGACATTTCTGAAAGAGACATAAGTAACACAACAAGACAAGATCCATAACGCGAATTTTCTGAAAGATGGTAACAATATTCTAATAACACAATAATTTCATCAAACAATTCTGCAGTGTTCACGAAATACAGAAAGCTGAACCTTGAATATTTTGTTATTGGAACCCGTTCATAACGGAGGTAGAGGATAATAAAACAACAACAGAAAACGATGAAAGTCAGGTCCTCACCACGAAACATATAGCAGCTGGTATTTCGAGAAAAAATAATCTTCATAAGAATAATACTTTTTGATAATAGTCGTAATTACGAATGTTTACGGTTCCCAGAAATTCTTCCTCGAACGCTGGGCTATTGGCCTACCGGGAAAGAGGTCGTTGTCATACACGCTTCTGCTATCAAAAGAATTCGCTGAAGGGGAGCAGTCTAAAAAAGACCTGTAATCAACTTGGAGGTTTTCAGCACGACTGAGCTGGAAACGTGGAAAAGGTTTCCCTCGAACCAGAAACATGCAGAAATTCACGATTTTTCATCGTAGCAAAAAAGCTGACTTAAGAAATGGAAATGATAATTTCCACAAAATTTGTCGGAAATTCTGGCCTTTGGTCATTCTGCCATAGCTCACGACTAAACTCTTGACCTCCTAACCACGCATTGCATTTGTACGTCAGATATACCGCTACGCAATGGTCATTTCCTATGGGTATCTACGTGGTGAAACAATACTTTTGCCGAAATCAGCAATTACAAAATGTCAAGCATCACATAGGACAAATTTCGCATCAACATTTACGAATCGACTGAACTATGGAATTGAAATTCTCAAATTCAACCTACCAGCTGTGGTTTTCCACGAATTGTACTCGTTGGATGGCTCGTTTCGGTGCCATGGTAATGGAGAGCTCGAGAATCTTGTTCGCCTTAAAACGATAGTGGCGTTAGTTCTTGATCAAAAATGTATCATCTAGGACGTTCAGGACGTACTCTGCTTCCGATGGATTCCGTTGCACAGACCGACTTGGAGAAGCAACTGCAGCGTCGGACAACGAGATCGGACCATTGAAGGGAATGACAGTAGTCGACGTACGAGGAGCATCCTAAAAGTTGTTGAAAGGAAATTCGATTTGACGAGTTGCAAAGAAAAAGAAAACGAAACGCCAGGAAAAAGCGACGAAAGACCAATAAAAACGACCCGATAACAGAAAGTAGACCAGAATTTCTGCTTATCTTCATCCGTTTTAAGTACTCACCATTAATTCGCCAAGACAACAAATGAACCAACATAGCGCTCCGCGATGACCAAGCAGTTCAACTACAAAATGATTGCGATAACTAGAATGCCACCCGGAAACACTTCCAGCGAAAGCTATCCCTCCGACGAGGCGTGACTCCCATATCCCCTTGCGAATCCATAAGACGATGGCGCCCGGAGATCTCGACAGCAACCCAAAAGGGGGACAATCCCCCGGCGGTCCCTTCCTGCTCGGAGCTCTGCCCCTCGTCTTCCATTTTTTTTTCTCGCTGTGTTTCTGGCCGCTGCTGGGACGCATCACCCAAGTCAAATCACACACGCCCGAGAGATCACCGTATTGACTCCGAATAAGGTCTTCCACAATGCCAACCGACTTCCACAACCCCGCGCTCGGATCTGACAATCTATCCCACTCCTTGGACTTTCTTTTCCGGCCTTTTGCCGCGCAGTGTTTCTAACAATAACTCTCACTCCTTAAAGTACGCATCACTAAACTCCTCTGGACAGCCCAAAAAACAAAACGGTTACTTTTATGTATTGCCCCCGGCGGCTCCCTTGCAGGTTTTATCTTATTTGGAACAACCATGTTGAAGAAGCGAGGTTGTGTATCATTAAAGTTAGACAATTCCTTCTTGCTGCTCTGAATAATGAAAATTGAAATTGAATAGATATCAAACTTAACAATACTATGAATGAATGAGTTACTGTTTAGTCTATAGTCTCTTGACGTCATAAAGACTGGACACTTTTATCGTGGTCGAGGGGGGAAGAGACTAAATCATACATGAATTGAGAAGTAGCATAATAATACACAATTCTCATTCCACAGATCGACCAGGGTTAAGTCGGTTGAATCAAACAAAGCTCATACCAGCAACAAGCCATGTAAGAACAGATATAAGCCCATAAATCTGTGGATTATATCGTTTCCGTTGAGACACCATCTCATGAACTCTTTCGTGACTGGCTTGGGACGTCTGGTACCTCTTAAGAAAAATCTCGTTGCCCAGAAGCTACTCATTACGCTAGGAATTTTATTATGATCTCCTGACAGAGATGTTCCTGTAATTGCAACTTCTCTTCGTTGAGTACGATGAAATACTCTTTTCTTTTTCACTTCACGCAGCGCGAAACATTTTCCGCTGCAAAAACCTCAGCCGCCGCATGAGTGGACCTGGAGCTCCCTCAGCGAGAAAAAAAAAAGTTTCGCGCTGCGGAACGCGAACAAGTCGATGTTCCAGCGAACCACATCAGTAGCAGCGAGACCGTTCAATTGGAGCGCCCGTATTGTTGCCTTCGAAGCGCTATTATCAATGGAAGGCGGCTATGTCAGTTTACTAATTCACATTTTGGGGTATCGTATTCAATACGTGCATTATACAACAACCTTTGCAAGAAGAAATCCAACTGGCAATAAACTTATGAAATACATGGGAACAATTGTGTAGAAAAGCCCTAGTTACCGTTGCGTTATCTCGATTATTTGGTACTACTCGTTCATTCGTCTCAGATATGTCACTTCGACCATGGCAGATTGTGAATGCTCAATGAACTTGTTGGATCGGATAAAGCGTTGTGCCTGGTTGAAATATGAGCAGTAACACAAACTCGTAAAGCTTACCGTCCATCTTCGGATCTCCCTCTGGAGTCGTCGCAGCCGCCTTATTGCGGCACCCTGAGTTGCTGGTTTAAATATATACTCTTCAGTCAGAGCATCATCGGAAAATTCCCCCAGTGTTAAACTGGGCAGCGCGAAACGATCCCTACTACGTCATTAGTAAAAAAGTTGCGATACACCGATTGAGACTTCAACAAGTCTGCTAAACTTTTTGTATGAAATGCTAAATATATTTGTTGTCAGTTCGTCGTCAAGACGGGACGGATTTCGTACATACGCAGCTCAATTTTCACCTGACAGCGGCCAAAAATGAAAACGGATATTACGACGTTCGCCTTGAAATCTTTAGCTCGGAGTGGGCGCGACATCGTAGATCTTGTTCAATAAAATCTAGTCAGTGATGACAGGTCCTTAATGGGGCAGAGATTTCTTCGTGCGGCAAACGGATGCATGCGCTTGTCGCTTCGAGCAGAGATAGGGTTGAAAAAAGACACCGGAGGAGAGCAATCCTTCTTTCGATCCTAGAGGAAATTTACGTAATCCCTAACACAAAACAATATACAGACATCTACATAAACGCTGAACCACACCTTTGGCAACCAAGACGAAAACGGAGAATCGGGCTCCTCGGGAGGAGTTGGATAACAGGGAACGAACTTCAACTGGCCGCGTTGCAGGTCAATTGGGCACTTGCTGCAGCGACATTTCACTGTCTCCTGCGTGTGGTTACCTGTCAATACAAATTAGGGATTAACACAAAGCAAATTAAAGCAGCAAGTTAAATAGCAGTGAAATAAAAGGATAGCGTAACACACCTGAATCAGTAGGTGTGCCAGATTTTCCATCGGAACCAGATAAGGCAGGGCTGCTGGCAAAAGCTGATTGTCTTGGTGTGAGATTTTCAGCTGAAGAAAACTATCATATCAACAAATAACGTCGCGAATCTTCGAAAATGCGACCTCTTTCTCGTGGTCTCAACTGTGGCTGTGCTGATGAAACTTTCCTCAATTCTTCTAAATGCAGCTAATTATGTACGATCGCACACTTTCACAAGCCAAGCAAAAATCTCTGGAGCTCGAAATTTCAGAGAGATGACGTCGGCTCTGACTTCCAGTGTTTAACTTCGAATTTAACTTCTCACTACCTTAGAGAGTTATCGAGATACTCGTCATCTATGGGCGGAATTGATCAGCTGTTTTCGTTGCAGCTAAAGATAAGCACGCAATATTATTTCATCAAATTCTAATTCAGGCAGGATGGGCTGCGGATGTAAATTAGCTCACTGCCATCCTATTAGAACAGTCACACAATTCGCCTCGATATATCCTTTTTTAGAGATCCCGGAGGGAAAGTTAGATAAACAAAACAACTTACGTCCGTGCACTCCTTCCGACACTTCTCCAGTAGCACTGTTTTCTCTGCTACGACATCTGTCAAGTGTGCCCGCATCTTATCACTTATCTGACAATGCGCGCACTTCGCGTTATTGGCTGGAATTATTGAGAATAGTGGAATACACCTAGGTTGAATAAGTTGGAGACATACAACTATGCGTATCATTCAGGTTTCCGTTCCTGCTCTATCCTAGACTTATTAGCAAGGATAACTTCACGATCTCGTTCGCTTATTTCTCTTAAAAACAACAATTAATGGCTTCTCGGGGCTAGAAATAAATACTACAGACCTCAGGTATCCGTCGGCACGCTCTTCCACTGCTTCTTTTTCCTTGATGTGCAAGTCAATTCGCGTCTGAATCAGTATGAATAGGTAATAGCTGTTTTATAGAACAGTGAATTGCTTACATACCAAATGTCTATCGCATAGCAATTTGATTGGTGACAGCCCAATTACGAAACAATTAGTCTACATTTCTGTCCTTGGAAGGATGCAACTGCTCAAGCCGTAAGTTGAACAGGAAGATGGCTATGACCCTGGAGAAATCGACACCGTTTGAATAAAGGATCAATTTTGTACGTGAGAATGAAAAGAACGTACAGTAAGCAACCGATTCTTTCTTTCGACGTCATCAATTTTTCTTTGTATTTCTTCTTTTTGAGCCTGAAAATTGTGCGAATAGTGCAATCAGATTAAGCTAACATCGACCAATTGCTTGAAGCAACACGCGCTTTCCAGTGGAAATGGTTTTGTTCGAAGTAACATACTTCAGTGATGGGTGATGGCCCATCAGTAAGCACAGAATTCACGTGTCGGCCGGCTCGAAATGCACGACAAGGCTTTCCGGCTTATAAAGTAGCGCTTGGAAGCGAATTCGGCAATGAAATCGCGCGACGACACGCCACAGACATCCTCAATGAGTATGTACTATTAAGCGGCTATTCAACTGCGCGGAGTTGATATAACTGTAACGCGGCCTTCGCATATCCCGGGACCCGCGCTCCTTCTTAGGGAAAATATCGAGCTTTGGGGTCTGCACATTCGCTACCGTAAAAGTACAGAGACTTCAGGATATTATCTATGCTTTTCTTTGCCTCTGCAACAAATTCATCTTGATAAAATGAGAACTCCCGCTTCAGTACTTCGATAGTATCACGCAAACGTCGCAGTTGCAGCAAGTTAATCTCGTCCTGACATCAGTTATGAACTGAAGAAAAGAACTCTAAACGTACAGAAACTATGCTATTCAGCAGACGATAAATTTTTAACCAAGCTAACATACAAAGGACGACTAACCGGAATTTTCTTGATCACAGAATTCATGAGGTTAGCAACGGCATGAAGACGTTTGTTTTCATCTTGGACCCGATTCAACTCATCAGACTGTCGCTTTATAAGTTGTTGACTAATCATTAGCCGACGAGAGACATAGGAGGGCAGTGTGATTGGCTCATCGGTCGACAAACTGTAAGTCTTGCGTTAAAAATTTTCTGTGAATCTGAGAAAACGATAACTGAGAAAAAAAACCTCCTCACCTGCGCAAAGACCTGCTTGACCATTAACCAGTTGGTCGATGAGTATGGAGAAGAAATGAGCTCCACCCATGGTTTGAGTGGCCACACACTCATTAGTTTTTGGAGGACCATAACCATTAACAATTAACGAATTCTGGAAGAACGAGCAGGAATGGCAGTCGAAAGATTACCTCAAAGTGATGCTCTGCTTACCATGTCTAATGGCTTCCGTGGTGGAGGTTCAACTGGAACCACTTCATACACGTATCCTTTTCGGAGCTTTTTTGGCGCAGCATTCAGGTCAAGCTGAAACTGACCAGTTTATAAAAGCTCAAGAAAACCCAAAGTTATCCGATGTAAGTATTCCTATAACCTTAGTCGGATCAGAAGAGTTATTTTGTCGTCGCTTAGATGATGAACGCGGAACTGCATCCTTCGGCTTGTTGTTTGCAGAATTCTGAAGTTCTAATTATTATTCGTTGTTCACAAATTTTCTATTACTACTGATTAAAAGTAGCAACCGCGATAACTTGATGTCGATGAAACTTGAAAGCAGGAGCACCAAAAATAGGAGAATCCGATAAGAACCCGAGCGATGAGACCTTTTTCTTGTCAACTTCAGGATGAACGAGTTTATCGCTAAGGTTGCTTTCATACTTTGCGCCGATGCGGAAAGTGCGAACACGTCAGTATAGAATGCTGGCGCTTGAGTGGTGAGGAACCCTGGCTGCGCGCTAAACATCATGCGCCAGCATTCTGCATTGACGCTCCTGGTACCTTCCGCATTATTCGCACCGGTGCAAACTATAAAAGCAACCTAACATAGAGAACGTTCGGGTGAAGTAGATGCTGGCATAATGACCGGCGAACGATTGACAGATCTTGCACTCGCAAATAAGTTCACGAATAAAAAGGGACAAAGCGCAGAAAACTGGAGATCCACAAAAAAGTAAACGACAGTAGGAAGTTAGACTGACCAGAGGAACAAATGAATTAAGTGGCGAAGAAACACTTCAAACTTGCCTTTACTTTAAGTGTGGCCGTTCTCTTCCGACTAGTTTGCTTTTGCCTTCTGCTGCTTCTGTGAACGACTGGCGTACTTGGCGTCTCCTTGACATCAGCTACGGAATGTTCTATAAAACCAAAATATCAAGTCGAAACAAGCCTAGCCGAAAAGATAACGAAATGACACAAAAATACTAGCAAGAATTACCATCAGCACATTTCCCTTCACATGGTGGCACGGATGGCGTTTGTTCAGTGATTTCTTCCGCTATGGAAACTAAACACTGTCAATAAAGATTAATAAATATTAAAAGAAAGAAGATTTTTAAAGACCTTTTGAGCTTTCATCAGCAACAGTGACAGGCACAGCTTCGTTTGGCACAGGTTGTGGATCGCTTGGCTGCGGTTCATTTCGTTGTGGCTCACCTGATTGTGACTCATTTGGCTGTAGTTCACTTGGCTTTGGCTCACTTTTGATCTCCGTTTCCTCCGGAACAGCAGACTCTAAAACAAAAAATGGTGGTAAGTATACAGATAAAGAAAAGGACCAATTCGATCAATTGTACACCAAATTCGTTAGAACACCTGAAGCGTGCAAAAGGAAAACGCCAGCACAATTTCAAGAGTCTCGTTCATTCACTTCACCACTTGGTTCAAATAAGGTGACCAATATGTCATTAACTAAAAAATTGAACGAACCTTCAGGAACTGTCACGAAAGAATTAGTAACTTTGTCATAAGCGTAGTAATCACCAAAGAATTCTGCACATTCCTTTCGAGCACAGCAATAGCGCCAAATGAATGCACCATAATTGGAATCGATCGGCTGCAAATATTCAGGATTGGAGCAAAGTCGGAACTACATCCAACGCTTAACTGATACCTTCACTATTTTCTTGTAATGTATGAATTGAGGATCTTCGCTTGAACCGCATTTAGGACAAAGACCGGTGTCGTCAAGCTCTGCATCTGAAATTGCTAATTACAATAAAGAGTTACACGCGAAACATATGCGTTACAACCTGCGAATTTCCATCGCGACGATGTGATTGCTAAAACGAGAGAGATATTTCCAGCCCTCTTGAATGAAATGTGAGTTTTGAAAGGGTTTCGAAAGGGGAAAGCTTGCAGTCATAAATGCTGCCGATTAATAAGTTGCCTGACCAGAGCCTTTTTCAAGGTAACTTCTGAAGGCAGGGACCCGCTCTTTTGCAGCTTAAATGAGCACACTTTTGACGATTTCCTTTTTTCAATCACTTAGCTTTTTCAAATGCCCCTTATGACGGCAACTATGTAAATCTGTTCAGAAGAGTGAGCTTACCTTTGGTACATTCGCCGGTGTTCCGCTCTTCGTTATGCTCCTCACTTACACCAGCTCCATTCTGTAAATTTAGCAGTGTATCACGAAAATGGAGCTTTCGAAGAAACAGAGCCACTGACTGACCTCTTCCATGGGTGAAGCTTCACTGCAGCTCGTACTGGAATGGCGCATTGCGTTGGCCACCTGCTCCTCTGTCGGCTCCTCACACTCAAAACTGATAACGTCACGGTTGGATCCTGGATCTTCCTCCTCCTCCTCTGCTGAACAAGGTGTGAGCACTTCCGAAGGGTTCTGTGCCTAGATATTCAAATAAAGAAGGAATCTATATGTCAATCTTTCACATGCTTGGTTTTTCCCTCGATTTCCAGCCTCTAACTGAACCCAAATAACATCTTGCGAAGGCAACTTATATTTGAACGAGAGTGTTTCACTAATTAACAGGTTCTACTCAGGAGCTGAAAATCGCTGTTGAACTCAATGAATTAATAACCGACAAATTAACGACCTTAAGTACGCTTGGGAGGAAGAGGAGAAATTCTATCGTAAGATGAAGTTCTATCTACCCGGTTAATGTGTACTTAATCCGACGACAGCGCACTCGAAGCGACTTGGCATGGCCCTGGTTCATTTTCGGGATTTTTGCGATGAGTTGCAGAACTAGCGCTCCGACTGCGCTCAAAGAAGCATCTTTGCGGTTTGCTCCAGCACATAGCGCCCCTTTCGACAGAAAAAGCCCTTGAATGGCGAATATTGGGCGGATTTGGGAAAAAAAGGAAACAGGAAAACAACTAGCAGGTTCTCTGGTAAACACGTCAGCCTGATCACACGCATTGAATTTGGCGAAAACGATGGGGCATTCGATGCGGGAACTATTGCATAGTTGTGCACCAGAACTTTTGCCAGAAAAACTTATTTTGTCAGAACGACACAAACAAATCGACGATATCAGAAGCAATTATTCTGCGAAAACAGGTGTAGAGGGTATTGTAAGAGGAAAGAAAACACTAGATAAAGAATACAAAAGAATTAATTTAAATGTACAATGTTAATGAAGTAAAGATCCGCAGCCCTACCAAACTCTCGCACAGGCAGCGGCCTCACCTCACTCCACTCACCTCTCTCGGTAATACCATAATTACGCACCATAGGTTACGCAGCAAATTCAGGCCCAACCACCTTTTTCAAACCAACTCTCTGGCGAGAAACAAAGACACGACCAGGCGGACTAGCATGTTTGGGACACAAGAACAAAACAAAACGCGGAAACACAATCAACAGATTTATCGGTGAGAAGGCATCGTAACTCGAGAATGAATATGCATTGGCTGCCGGAAAGCGGCGAGACTCCCCATGAATAAGCCAAATAAGATTTTAGTTGAATCTACTGTTCTACTCTGTTACATTACCATAATTCCATTCCGCTTCTATTCCTATTCTCCAGAAAATTGAGTATGAATCTGGCTAGAGCGTCATCTGCTAGAGGAGCAAGCAAACATTAACGAAACTGGTAGAGCATACCTACACCAGCAAAAGCTTGACAATAAGTGATTATAAGCAGGATGGCGAAGAAAAACCCGTCCTAGTTCAAACTACAGCAATTCCAACCAGTAACATAAAAGCTCGGCAAAACTTCATTTTATATTTTTTTCCAGACCAATCATTCAGCCGTTTGAAACGTATGGTCGAGTTTGACAGGAAATAACATGTTAAGATTACCCCATGCGTTATGTGCTGCTTTAGCCCCCCATCCCAGTAACGCTGAAGGGGTGAAACTCCAGTTCGGGGGGGCCACTCCATTTTTTCTCCAATACTCAAGATAAGGATTAGAGGGCTCACGACACGTAATCGACTCATTTAAAGTAGACTTCTGATAAATATTGGTGTAATGGGTGAGAAACCCTGAAACGTTTTCACATTTCCGCCTGCCATGACCCAAGGGAACGGTCCTGGACCAGGAGAAAGGACACCTCCGCAAAGGGCTAAGGGTGCAGGAGCTCCAGGGTGGATCACCTGTGCAGAAAAGTGGATGGGATGTGGGCAGGTAGTGTGGAATGTAGGACATCCACCGGTCCTTATCAAAAGTACGCTCGAAATGAGTCGTTCACTTATTATCTTATCCGTAGTGTTCGATAGCCCAAAGAACTGCTCTCTAGTACTACGGATAAGATAGCAATGGAGTGGCCCCCCCGAACTGGAGTTTCACCCCTTAATCGATTTAGGTCTACCACATCACATTTTAAAATGTTGTAAAGCGGCGCTATCGGAGTATAGGGGCATCCTTTTCAGGAACTAAAGTTTACGACAAGAGGCAGAAACTTTGGATAAAATGGTGACCATGGCTTATGTACCTGAGTCTCTCATCTCCCACCTCCACGATAAGCAGATTGCCAACGAAATCGAAGCCTGTTTCACGCGATTTCTAATGCACTGCCACCACAATGCCCCGCATCTTGCGATAGCACCGACTAGGCGACTAGAAGAAACATGAGTACATAGTGATTAGATGAGTCGCCCAATTTCCCATTCAATTCACATTTCTTCCAGTCCCGCACTCATATTCAATTCTTATGGTATCTAAGCTTTTAGTTGGAGTGCCAACCCTTGTTTGACCCCCCCTGGGTCCTCTGTTCTCCTGTTCTTCCGACCAACACATTTTTTTCAGTCTCCTGATCTCCCTGTGGGCACATCGCAAGATAGATGGGGCGAATGGTTTAGATCCATGTCATACTTGCCTTTTTTCCAAGAAGGACACTAAGCCTTGGCGAAGGGGGAAGAATCCAAGTCGCGAGCAAGTGTCATTTTGCCCGGAGTTCCTCAACCTCAAATGTGAGGCACGGTGCTGCCTCGCAGCTTTTATGTATGTGTGTACTGCGCTTTCCAATGGTGCCCATGAGCGACGAACTGGACCACCTCGCGCCGCGATCTCGTCAACAGCGGATGTGCCTCGTGTTTGAGAAATAACAACGTAAGAGCAAAACAGCACCAAATAAATTCACCCACTTTGTTATTATTCGGCACAGGGGCGCACTCGTGCCGTCGACATCGAGGAGCGCGACAATCGTGTCCGTCATAGGCCGATGTCAGACTTTGTGAATCGATAGTAGAATCGCTCGCTTCGCAAACTGACATCGGCCGTACTCGTAGCGCGCGCTTACAGACATAACCGTCTCCTACTGCACAGGTAGAAGGTAGCGCTCATCACTCAAACTGCTGATCCCAGATCATGAGTATCCCGAACAAGCAGTCCCGCTCGACGTTCTTCAATCCAAGACCCAGAAAAAGGTTGCACGGCAGGAATTCTCTGCTGTTATAAACAACGTGTTGCTTGAACGCCCGAAGAGGTAGGCCCATATGCCTATGCAGTGCCTTCCGGCAGCTGAAGATAGACCACTAGGGTCTCCTTCAGTTTAGGGGAGGGGCATCGCGATGCAGTTCTTCCAGAACGCGGGTAACTCCGAGCCAGGGGGAGTGTAGCCAGTCTGACGGTGTGGGGGGGTGAGGGCAGTCACTTGACATGCGTGAAAAGCTGGAATGTTCGAGTTCACCGAGATTAACTGCATCATGATGCCTCCTCCCTTACTGGAACAGACCTCCATACCTTATTGTGTTAAACCATGCAGCGATGGCAAAGCTCGAAATTCACATAAAATGTAGTAAAGACAACTACCTAAAGCAAATTTTAAGCACAACTTACTTCACAGTCATTCATTTCGGGGCTACAACCGCCGTTGTGTTCTACGAAGAACGCTTGTTGCAGTAGAAATCGCCAGTGTTGATAATAATAGTGACCAGATTCTGAAACTGTGCGTAGTTTTCTGCACATAAATTTTGAACAGGAATTGATCGAAAATCGAGATATAGAACTTCGGGGAACGTCATGATCATTAAATATCTACAACCGTTCTTTACAAGATAGGTCTAGGCCACCCATCTTCGAAGACGGAGGTGCTCTAAGAACATAGTTAAACGCAAGATTCTGTCCCCTGTATCTAAAATACAAGGTCTCGATCTTGAAGGAAGGATCAAATACAAAGAGTTCTTGAAGGAAGACATCTACTCGAAGAAGCGGCATCCGATAGCTTCTAGTCAAGTCTAGAAGGATGACCTGCAGAATCATAGGTGCAGTACTTACATTTACCATTTATTTCAGTTATTCATCTGACATAAACAGAGAAACGGGCCATGATCTGGAACCATGGAGGGTAGAAGAAAAGGAGTAGAATAGGAGTACAACCCAGGTAAAAAAGGCCGGTTACGCCATATGAAATGATGCAGTAAAAATGTTGTGTGTGGAGGTGAAATGAAAACCTCAAGTCGTTTTAGTGTAGTTTTATACCAACACGGCAGCTTCGGTAAGGTAAACCCCGACAATCCAGAAAGAAGGGAACCTATTTACTTTTTGTGCCACCCAAACAGGAGGAGTTAGGGGGGACCTCAGAAACGAGCCCGCGAGCGGCCCATGTGCGCGTCAGCAAGTTCGACATTGGCGAGGTGGCGCGTTGGCGCAACTGCGGTCATGGGCAGTGCGCGCTCGGCCGTCCCCAAGGCGCCATCACCCAGTTCCTCAGTTCTCTTCGTTGGTTGTGCTGTTTTGTGTCGTATTCATTTAAAGGTGGACACAGAAGCTTCCAGCGAGCACATCGTGCCGCTGTGACCCTGCAGCACGGGTTTCGGCACGACATTTACTGAAACCCTGCCTGTCAGGGTTAGAATTCGCCTCGGAAACGGGCGAAAACCACCGATGACGAGCAGTGATCGATTCGCACACCCAACGTTGCCTATCGATCACATCTCGTTTCAGTTTCGCCTCGCTGTGTGCTGTGACGACGAGGGGTGTGGGTGGGGCTTCTGCTAATCGATAACTAGCGCACCGGGTACAATCCATAAAACAAGGTGGGCAGGCATTCCGACAAGGTCGGTTGTGGGCGCTTGTTCGTAACCCTGGGACCTGCACACGGTTCGGCGGTTGGCTAAAATTTTAGCCATCTGTCGAATTGCGTGGAGGTGTACAGTGTTCTGAACAAGCAGCCCACAGCCGCTCTTGCCGGAATGGCCCAGCTTTCGGTGCAGTTAACCTTTTTCACCCTCGTCAGGGGACGTATGCAGTAGTCCTAGCCAGGGATAGGCTCCAAAACTCTGCTTCTGTGGACGCATCCCCCTGTTTTTCATCACGGGGAAGGCGTCATTGACCGAAGAAGAGAAACAGGTTTTTTGAAGGCCCGTCCTCTGTTGGGTACTCTGCATACGCCCTCAGTTATGATAAGCGATAGTCATATCGATCGTTTCCCAGTTTGGAA